TATCTTATAACCCAGAAATTCCACTTGGTTATTTATCTGAAGAAATCCAAAACACTAATTCAAAAAGATATATGCACCCCTATGTTCCTTGAAACATTATTTACAATAGCTTAGATATGGAAGCAATCTAGGTGTTCATCAATAGACACATGGATAAAGAAAATTGGGTACATATGGACAATAGAATATAATTCAGTCATAAAAAAAAGAATGAAATCTTGCCATTTGCAACAACATGGATGGACCTAGAGTATATTATGCTAAGTGAAATAAGGCAAAGACAGAGAAAGAGAAATACCACAGATTAATTCTAACTTACTTTCAATAATTTGCAAAAACTTTTCTCAAATATAGTTTCATTCTTTCTTTTCTTTGAATTACAACTTTTTAAAATACATTTTTATTGATTTCTGAGAGGGAGGGAGGGAGAGAGAGAGAGAGAGAGAGAGAGAGAGAGAGAGAGACAGAGATCAAAGAGAGAGAGAGAGAGAAAAAAACACCAATGATGAGAGAGAATCATTGATTGGCTGCCTCCTGCATGCCCCCAGGCATGTGTCCTGACCTGGAATTAAACCCTGACCTCCTCATAGGTCAAACCACTGAGCAACACCAGCTGGGCTGAATTACATCTTTATACATTGTAAGCTGAATCTTCAGAGTTTTATAATTATTGCTTCATGCTATTATCTTTTAAAGTCAACTAAGAGAAAATAATTACAAACAAAAATATATTTATACTCTCTTTTATATTTACATTCATAGTTACCATTACTGGTGCTCTTTTTTCTATGTGTGGACTTGAGTTAGTGTCTTTTCATTCTGCCTCTGCAATTACAATTTTCTGTCTATTTCTTCATACTAGATTGCCTTGACATCACCTAATATTAATTAAGTTCTCTTAGAAGAGTGTTGAGGAATAAAGGGAAGTAGAAGAGACTGATAAAAGTTGAGAAGGAAGGTCTTTCATAATTGGAAGGAACTTTGAATGTTGAAATTTAGTCTCAGACTCAAATATTTATCATATTTCATCTCCATTTCCATACAGAGTACCAGACACATAGTAGGTGCTTTTTAAATATTTGCAGGATAAATGAACATGAGTCCACATGTTGATTAAGATCAAAGTATTATAATAGGTGAGGGCTAGAACTGGAAAGAATGCTTATATGCACACAGGGCCAAGTAAACTAAGATAAAGCAGGTCTTTAAAAAGAGGAATTTTAGAAAAAAGTCTATAGAATTTCGAGACTGAGTGAGTTCTTTGAGTCACTGTCAAAGAGAGAATTGAAGTCATTGATTGTAGCAAAGCATTGGATAATTCTTTTAATGATTCTTAAAGGTCTTGAAAAAGTCATACAAGGACACACACTTTGGGCACTAATAGTCTTACACTTATTAATTCCAAAGTATGTAACAGATTCCATGCATCTTTGTAATATGAGTAAATAGGACAGGCATTCATTAATGGCCCACTTGTTTAGCCTATGGCACTCCATGCCTTGCCACTCTGTTTATAGACATTAACAGTTGGACATTGAGAGCTGCTCAAGCAGAATTCTATATAGGCACTCACTTGGGGTTAATTTACTTTATTTTAGCTGCTAAAGTGAACTCAGCTGGACTTGCCATATTCTATTCCGATATATTTTGTAAATGTCTTTAGTTTCACAGCCCAGGAGTTTTACTGTGAATCTTCTGAATCATGTGGCTTGTACTAACCAGGACAACCCATCAAAAGAATGTAGATTATTTCTAAACTTGTAATCCAATTTTGAACTTATTTTAGAGCTTGAGAAATGGAGCACTATAAATTTAAACAACCAAGAAGTAAATTGGCTAGGTTTGGTAGTTATCTAATTATTCAACAGACATTTTTTGAATACGTTCTTTAGGCAAGGTACCAGGTTAATTGTTGGGGTTGCAACTATGAAGAAGATAGATTCAGGTATCCCCAAGTAGTTTTAAAGTTAGGTCAATCTGTAAATAAATGAATAAACCATAAGCACTTATTATGTGTAATGCACATTAACCAGTAAAAAGATAGAACTAGAAAATGCTCAACACTGAATATCTAAATCTCAGTCTAAATCTAAAATATTTTTATTCTTACATGCTCAATAAAATTTATTCTTCTTCAAGAATATTTTCAAATTCTAATTTTCCTCGGAACCTTTTCTTTTAATGAATAACTGGGCAATGGATTCCCCTTGTTTTCCTGTAGCTAACCATTTTCTTTTAGCATATATTCTTTTACTCACTTTTTTTTCTCATAAACTATTTACTGAGCAACTGATATGGGCTAAGCATGTACTAATGGAAGGATACAAGATGAAGGTGAAAGTGTACTGTCTTCAACTTAGTAGAGTAAGGAAGATAGGCAAATAAAAAAAGTCATTATAATGTTAGTGAAAAGTGCTACAAAAAGAAATCTAGTGAAGAAAGTAGTCATATAGTACATTAATTCAACCTATGCTTGTTATTTTAGAAATACACACAAAATTAGTTAAAAGTCTGCATAATAGCATATACTATTTAAGTATTTTATTTATTGAACACTTTCCATATAGGAGGCACTTGAATTAATTAATCTATTAAATATAGCAACACTGTGATGTAGATGCTATATAACCACACTTTGAAGATGATGAAAGAGCCCTAGCTGGCTTGGCTTAGTGGATAGAGCGTCGGCCTGTGGACTGAAGGGTTTCAGGTTCGATTCCGACCAAGGGCACATGCCTGGGTTGCAGGCTCAATCCCCAGTAGGGGGTGTGCATGAGGCAGCTGGTCAATGATTCTCTCTCATTGATGTTTCTATCTCTCTCTCCTTCTCCCTTCCTCTCTGAAATGAATAAAGACATATATTTAAAGATGAAGTATGTAGTTAACAAAAATCATCTATCGATTAAGTTGTAGAGTCAGGATTAAGTTGTAGAGTCAGGATTGAAACTCATATAGTCTGGGCCTTGAGTCTATGAGTCTATGGGGAGTTATTCACTCCCCAGCTTCTAAGAAGATCCCCATTGCCCTTTGTGAGTAAAGGGCACTTCCCTTCTTCATGGTCAAGCTTAACCACATGACTTGTTTTGACTACTGAAAACTGGGGAGACATAACATATGCCAGTTCAAAGCAGAATTCTAAGAGACATTACATATTTCTTCCAGCTTTCTAGCCCTTTCCCTCAGTCCCAGAATGGCATGTTCCAGGAAGTGACGGTCCTTCCGATTGTGTGGACATGTGGAGCATAGTTTCTGCCCATCCTCACCACTGGCATGGAACATGAGTGAGACAAACTACTATTACAAGCCACATACTTGGAGTTGTTTTTCTATAGCTGAATAACCTAGCAAAAACTGACTAATATGCCCCGGCTGGGCTGCTCACTTGGTTAGAGCATCGTCTCATACGCCAAAAAGGTTTCGGGTTTGATTCCTGGTCAGGGCACATAGCTAGGTTGTAGGTTCCATCCTGGTTGGGGCGCATATGGGAGGCAATCAATTTATGTTTCTCTCTCATGTTGATGCTTCTTTCTCTCTCCCTCCTCCCACCCCTTCCTTTATCTCTAAAATCAATGAAAAAATATCCTTGGATGAGGATTAAAAAAAAAAAGAATCCTTATGCTTTGTGGTGATGGGTCTCTTAAAAAACAAATAAAAACTGACTAGTATGATAATAGCTATCAAGAAGTGGGATATAACAGTAACAAACAGCCTAAGATATGTGGCATTGGCTTTGTGGTCAGTGGAGAGTGTTGAGGAAACCATCATTAGGATCTGGAAAATCACCACCTACGTTTTACAGTGGCATGCATTTGTTACTTTAGTTAAAAAGGTCAGGGAACAGAATGCTAATAAGTGTTGATACTGGTTGCATTTATGGGATCATAAAAGAAAGGACTTCTTTGCAAACATAGAGGAATAGAACATTTGGAATTATGAGACATACAGGGCTGAAAAATGCAGCTGTTGCTCATATCCAACCACTAAAAGATGAACTTGAAAATTGCTTTGGATAACAGAGGATGAAGAAGATTCAAATTAAGACTCATCCTCAGACAAAAACCAAATAAAAGGTTTGTGAAATTATTTTAATGAATTAAAGTGGCCCAACAAATTCTTTCCGTTGGGTAAAATGTGTCAGAGCAAACAGACGGAAGGAATGGCTTTTCACAAGCCAGGTAAGCTCAAAGTACTGGCAATTAATTTAGAGGCAGAGATATTGTAAGTAAAGTCACTTAAATATACAATTTACAAATAGAAGAGGCTGAGCTTTACCCTTGGTCTGTGCCTTTATAAACCACTACATGTGTTGTTTGGTGATATCCTACAAATCAAGGTTTAGCCTAAATGCTACCTGCTTTGACATAGAGTCCCCTCCACTAAGTCTTCCTCTGATTCCCTGTGCTTACATTTATTAAGGTAATTTTCATTCTGTGTCTGACTGTCTCCCTTCTGTAGGCTAGGAATTCATCAATGACATAGACATTTAGCTTTTAATCAGATATGCATACAAAAAATACAATAAATGTTTGATGAATGATGATTTACTACATAAACAGGAAAAAGCAACATTATCTAACAATTTCAGTATTCCCAAATCAGCACTATCAACAGTTTCTAAAACACTGAGTTCTGCTTGAATCTTCTATTGTTCTAAAAAAAAATCTTTGAAGTTGGATATTTAACCTATATAATAAAAATGCATCAGGAAAGTTTAATGGAATTTTAATTTGTTATTTCTCATAAAAAGTAAAATTTATAATATCAGTCCTAGACAAAAATCAAATCAATTAATCACAGAGGTTTAAATTTAAAGTCATTAAGGCAGTTCATAAAATACATTCCATAACTATCACTCTAAAGAAATGCCTGGACATATTGCCAGGGCCAGTGAGCCTCAGCGTTTTAGGAAAATGCACAATCCTTTGCTAAGCATCCTCTCTTGAATTTTGTTTTTAAGCACATCCTGAAGAAAACACAAGGGCATTGTTTGAAATACATACCTGTCGGCACCAGAGTTTACGAAATATCTGCAGATAGGCCAACACCATGAGACACAGAGGTGCCATGTATGTCACCAGAAAGAAACAGATGTGATACATCTTGGGGTAAATTTCACCTGGAATGAAAGTCAAAATAATAAAATCTTACAATTCATAGATATTTTTAAAGGTAACTTTGTTATTGTTGAGATTTACCTTCTATATAGTGTCACTGGCACATCTATACACAAAGGGGAAAAATAATTTACATTAACTACTCACATTTATTCAGTCTATGTACGTACAAAATGTGAAGTCTTAATTTCATTTAATGACCCAGAGAGGAATAACAATGAGCTATTTCTTAATTTGTGCTGTCAGAGTCTATCCAGTCAAGTGTTCATTTATCGAAAGCCCTTATTTGTTTTGATTACATGGGGTTAATTAATAAAAATTAAATTGGATTGTCCTACACTCACATTAATAAGAAGGGACATGACTCAATCAAAACCTAATTACCAATGCTTTTGTTAAAATAGCAAGAGAATATAAACTCAGTTGATTCCTCCTTATTAAAATATAAACTGTACCTTCAAATGTGGAAAAAATTGGAAAAATAAATACAGCAAACATTTGATAATTCTTTTTGTTAATTTACTAGAACACATGCAAAATTAATTAAGTATGCTGTGTACATATGTATGTATGCATGTACTTTTAATAAAAATGAGATTTTTAAGGGATTTTTAAAGTTAGTATTTTTTATAAGTTTTTTAAAAATACATTTTATTGATTTCAGTCATGAAGGGAGAGGGAGAGAGAGATAGAAACATCAATGATCAGAGAGAATAATCCATAGGCTGCCTCCTGCACGACCCCCACCAGGTACCTTGGCCTTAAATTGAACTGTGACCTCCTGGTTCATAGGTCAACACTCAACCCCTGAGCCATGCTGGCCAGGCAAAGTTAGTTTTTAAAACGACATGGGTATTGTCTTTTTTACATCCATCTCACTTATTAGTCACAAGCATCTGTAGAAGTATAACTATTTCTTACTTATCATTAATTCTATGAACACAAGTAAATCTTATCACAAATTAGGCATTTATTAAACAAACAGTTAATAAATTAATGACTGGCTTTATGGCTTAACATCATCATCATCATCATCATCATTATTATTATTATTATTATTGTTGTTGTTATTACTAGAGGCCCAGTGCACGAAATTCATGCATGGGTAGGGTCCCTAGTGGCTGCCGGCTGGGGCCTTTCTTTGTTTAATGCCGCCCCCTGGTGGTCAGTACACATCATAGTGAGTGATCGAACTCCTGTTTGGTCGAACTCCTGAGGGGACACTTTGCATATTAGGCTTTTATATATAGAGATTATTTTGCTTTCCTAAAATAAATATATTACTGATTTTTTAAATGCTTTAAAGGATATTTTTCTTACAGTAGTAATTGAATATATTACAGTGATCCAGTCACTTTTACTTAAATATAAAACAAAAACCAGAAAAATATTCTGCATAGATCCCATAGATATTAAATGCAAAAATTAGAAATAATTCTAACTAAAAGCTAACAAAACAAAGGTTTTTTTTTAAATTCATTTCTAAAAATTACACAAGTCATTTTGTCTTTGATATTGACAATGGGGTTGGTTCCATACTATCATTGAGGGATAATTCTATCACCTCCGTGCATTTTTTAAAATTTTCATTACTTCAAAATGGGCATATTGTATAGAAGCATGAAGACTCAGGTATGCCATCAAATGTGGTAAGGGCAATTTATAGTCAGGATCAACAAATAATAATTGTGATGATCACCATCCTAATGATAACATTTACTGAACAATCATTCAATTCTTACTGAATATATTTTAGACAAAGCTTTGAGTTGAATATCCTCCACTTGATTTCATAGCCTTATCTTCTAGAGTTGGTTGAGTTTAATATTCTCCTTATTCTTCCTTCTAAGTCTCAGTCTTTTTTCTCTGATAGAAATATTTCCCTACCATAATCTTCAGAGGAGACAGCAGGGGGTGTGTGCAGTTAAGGGGTCTAAGAGCGCAATGAGTCATTTTTAGCTTCTCTGTGGCCCAAGCGGCTGACACCTAGCTCATCAGTTTCTAACTCCCTTTCAAGCTTATCCTGTAAAACAGGCCAGTTCCATAAAAAGTGATAGAACCCAAGCAGCCCGACTGGAGGAATAACAAACAGCCATTCCCTTTGAAGCGCCACAGCCCCAGCAGCATTTGGTGAGCCAGTTTCAAAGAACAGTGACCTCAGCACTTTCCAGGCACCTAAGTGGCTTTGAACTTTTGTTTGTTTTAAAGAAGGTGTCCCATGAGCTCCCCACATAAAGATATAGCTTTGAAGCTTGCATACCTGGAAGCCTTGATGTCTGCCTCAGACTAAATGAATTGAGTAAGTGGAGGAAGGTAGATTTTAATAGGCTTTTTTTTTTTTTTTTACTATAGCTATGGTTCCCATCACTGTGATAACAGTCTGAAGTTTTAAACAGATGGGAGAGAAAGCTCATTCAGAGGTCGGTATATTTATATAAATACTTGGGAAAAGATGTAATTGGCTGGTAAATGCATATTATGCTAATGAACACCCACACAGAAAAGTTGATCAAGCAAAATTATACTTTCAGGCTGGGATAGTTTGTTTTAATAAAGATATTATTATACATAATTGGGGTAACATGATAATCTTAAATTCCTCATTTCATGCTTAGAGTCTAAGCTGATCGGAAACCCAGAAATACCATGGAAATGTTAAGTTGTCTGTGTTGAAATTGTCTTTGTAGTCTCTCTGCACTTGACAAGCAATGTCTTAAATGTATTTTAAAACATTTATATATAACCTAGAATGTAGCTACATGAAACTTGTCCCACTAAAGAATAATCTAAGTTAGAAAACAGCATTTTGAAGATTGACGACCATTAAAAATTGGTGTTTCTACTCAACTGATGAATAGGCATATCTGAATAAATTCTTGCATACATATTAAAACAATAAATAAGGAGCAAACGTGGATATTTATTTCAGCTTTAAAATCAGAGCTTAAAGAATAATATCATATATTAGACAAAACTTAATTTCTTTTTTTTTAGAGAGAGTAGAAGGGAGGGGGAGAGACAGAAACATTGATTGGTTGCAATTGAGAATTGAACCTGGGACCCTGTAGTCTGAGGGCGGACACTCTAACCACTGAGCCAGACTGGCTAAGGAGAACTTAATTTCTTTCAGATGAGTTAAGGTCCATTTGTGAGCCAACATGTTAATCTAATTATCTAAAAACTGCAAATGTTTTCTACTTCATAGTACTCCTATCAGGGATTTAATGGCAAGTAAATTAAAAATAATTTCCCAAATATTTAATTTGAACCACCTTATCAAAGTTTATGGATCCATTAATGTTTACCTGAATCTTTAATATATTTTAGTATCTTCTCCCTAATAAATATTTTAATAAATATTCCTATTAATACACATACATACATATTTATAGATTTTCAAAATCTCATAAAAACCAGATGCCATCATGGATTTGGCTGTAAAGAAAAGATCCACTATTATGTTTTTTCAGACCATTAAAGAGCAATTTGGCAATAAAATCCAAAAGGAGAGAATTATATATTCCTAGTGTCCAGAACTATGTTTGACAAATAGTGCCTGCTCATTAAACACTGGATGATTGAATAATGAGACAATCATATCACTGAGTACAAAAAGAAAGTTGCTTTCCTCCCAATAGATTCATCCTGTGAAACGATGCATTTATAAACCAATCAATCAAAAACGTATGGGTATAATTCTGGAAGAATTTTTAAGTTTTAGAAATGTGAATTGATGTTACTGAAGCAAACAATGAACGTATACAAATACATATTTTAAGATCATTAAAATAAATATTAATACATTTTGTTTTTGAGTGTCAAGTGTGCCTACCAAAAGTTCTGGTTTGTGGTTGTTTTTTCTTCTTCTCATCAAGCCACAGGAAATGATGACTATAATGACTTCCATAAAATATCACATCTTTCTGGTAATATTTTCAGTTTGACAGAGTTCTCAGTTATTTTGCACAATGAATGAGACAGCATTTTCCAGACTTTTCCAAAGGTTATTTGATAGATATGAATCAAGAGACCACATTGTTTATTGTCTCTTTTCACACTGCAATATTGGTTGTAAAACAATTATGATATCACTGTCTGCTTTTATAACTACATAACTGATATAACTTAGGATAAAGAGAAAAAACAGTTCACAACACATTTTTTAAAATTGTGCAAAATGGCCTTCGGATTTTTAAAATGTTTAAACTTTAGAGAGCTGACAATGTAAAATATAATTCCTATGATGTTTTTAAGGTTGTAAGTATCATACATATATCTGAGTTATAACATTTTAAGTTGAATATGGACTTATAAATAGCCGAAATTAGCAAAGTTCATGCTATGTAAAAGTATCATAAACTAAATGTCTAATGAGCAAAATAAAAACCTACTTTGGATTCTTTCAGATTCTTCTTGAAAAATTGTGATTAATAATTTCATTTAATACTGTCTGTCTCATTCATTGTGCAAAATAACTGAGAACTCTGTCATACTGAAAATATTACCAAATTCGTGGACCAGTCCCTGGGCCTGGCCTGCGGGATCGGGCCGAAACCATCTTTCCGACATCCCCTGAGGGGTCCTGGATTGCGTGAGGGCGCAGGCCAGGCTGAGGGACCCCACTGGTGCACGATCAGGGCTGGGGAGGGACACAGGAGGTTGGCCAGCTGGGGAGGGACTGTGGGAGGGCTCCAGGGCGTGTCTGGTCCATCTTGCCAGTTCCAATTGGCCGGACCCCAGCAGCAAGCTAATCTACCGGTCAGAGCATGTGCCCCCTGGTGGTCAGTGCACGTCATACCAAGCGGTTGAGCAGCCTTAGCATACCATTAGCATATTATGCTTTGATTGGTTGAATGGCCAACCGGATGATCGAACACTTAGCATATTAGGCTTTTATTATATAGGATTTGAAAGAGCTAATTTTTTAGATTTTATTGTTTGCTTTTGAAGATGATCAAATTCAATTTGGAGCCACTTAATTTTAGCCTTTATAATAATTTTAAGTAATTATGGGTTTATATAAAATCACTTTTAAAAAAAATATATTTTATTGATTTTTACAGAGAGGAAGGGAGAGGGATAGAGAATCAGAAACACCGATGAGAGAGAAACATCGATCAGCTGCCTCCTGCACACCTCCCACTGGGGATGTGCCCACAACCAAGATACATGCCCTTGACTGGAATCGAACCCGGGACCCTTCAGTCCGCAGGCTGACACTATCCACTGAGCCAAACCGGTTAGGGCTATAAAATCACTTTTAAGTAATTTTCCTAAATGACTTCTGAAGGCTGAGTTTAGATTTTTAGGAACTCAACAATAATTGCTTTTTAAAAAAATATTTTTGAAAATGTCCTTGCTAGAGCTAGATAATAAAAATACTCAAGGTTGAAATGAGTTTTATATATGTATTGCTCAAACATAGTTAGAAGATGATGTGGCTATTTACTTCATTGTAACAACTGTCAAAATTCACTGCCTTTGCATACTGTTTGTTAATGGGAATTAACATTATCTGATTATTCAGGGCAATATACATAAGGAAAAGTTTATAAAAACTGCCTATTAACTTATAAATGAAACTCCTAAAATACTTTAGTAAAAATACTATTAAATATTTGAATAGTAAGTGGGTGTTTTATCTAATTGACACATAATGAATAGTGAGTGGGTGTTTTATCTAATTACCATTTCCATAAAATTAAAAAATATCAACTTTGAACTGAAAGCTTAGATTTACATTTATTTGTTTGCTTCATAATACTGACCAAAGAATTTATGGTTCAGTTTCATCATGAATTAATTAAAGAATTCTGACCAAGAGATTTTTAGGATGTTTGCAAATGTAACTCGTTATAAAGCAATTGCATAAGAGACACATCACAATGGGCCCCAACCCACTTTCTATCCAAATACAATTCATTCATAAATCTACATAGCCCTACATTCCCGAAACTGTCAGTTGGGACCCTCTTCCTTTCTTCTGCCCATTGTGTAGGTTTTCTTGCTTCCTGGAACATCCTTTTACCTCTTCCCTGTCTGAAGAAATCCTGCTCAACTTAACGCATTGCTGAAATGTTAGCCCCTCTGTAAACTTTTGTCCAAATGTTAGAAGAGTAAATCTCAGCAACAAAAATGATATGTAATAATTGGGGTAATAGAAAAAGCAAATTGTGAAATATAGCTATCATAGGACTTTAGAAAATGTACAACATAATCCTAGCGACTTTTAAACTTTATCGTGCAATAGGGAAAGCATGTGCCTAATTTCTCAGTTGTTGACTTTTTCTCTTTTCAGTGTTCCAATAAAGTACCCAGGTAGGAATTAACATAAATTAATTCAAATACTTGAAAATATCATATTCATAAGCTATCCCATGGGTGCACTGCTTGTTTTGGGGTACATCTTTCTAATAGGCATACATGTATAGCTTTCTAATAAACAGTGTTTTCCTAATGTTTAAATTCCGTAATTACGAGCCATTGTTATACACTTATTCAGAAGAGGACAGATTTTTTCCCCCTCAAATTTCATGCAATAATTTTGGAACTAGTGCATGCTATGCTAAAATGCAGGATTTTTAAAATTTCCAGTCATTCTTTGATGGGTTCAGATTTGTGTCACCACCCGGCACTGATTAAAGTGTTTCCACTGTTACAGGAAAGCCTTAGACTGTCACTGAGAGTTTTGGACCAAGGAGCATAAACCTCTAAGCTTCTGCTTATTTAAAATGAACTACCTTATATATCAGATAGGAGGGAAAAGGATTCATATTTCATATAATTCCTAAATTATGTCATAATTGTGCCAGAGATAAATTGTATTGGTTTAATATGTTATGAACAGAAAAAGCAAACTTAGATATTTTGACACAGAGAACAGCATTGGTCCACATACTCAACTCCAGTCGGGTGTCCAGTTAGCACATGGTTTTCAAATGAAAAATCCAGTCATATTTGAAGCCCATTGGGGAACTTGACACTTGAGGCCAGATAATCCTGTGCCATCTTATAAAATATGAATAATTCCAGAATGCATATTTCAATTCATATAAATGAGTCCTTTTCATTTTAGAGAATTTAAGAAAAGGTAACATAACCAGATCTGAATTGCAGAATAAACTCCTCCTTCCATTCTATCTGAAAACTAGATAACAATACATAGCATTTCTAAAGGACCAGGACAGGGGCAGTTATTCTGTGAAACGACTTTAGGTTTCCACTTGGTTTTCATGCTTTTACAAAACTATGGACAAATGGCCATAACATACACAAGGCCAGCCTTCCAGTGGCTGTGCCGCGGGCACTACCAGTGTGCAGCTGTCACAGAAATGTCAGCTGCGGGCCATGGTGCACGTACCTGCCCACTGCTCTTCACACACTGTGAAGAGGGTGGTTTTATTGGCCAACCCGGGGAGCATGGTCCTGCACTCCATGACGATGGCCTGAGGGATCATGATAATGCAGGAGACAATCCAGATGATGATGATGCTGTTCCGGGCCCGCTTGGCTGTGCTCTTAAACATCAAAGGATGACAGATGGCATACCAGCGATCCAGGGCAATGCAGCTCAGTGTGAGGACAGACACAGACACGGACACGGTCTAGAGAAAGGACAGAGTAAAAGAGAGAGAGGCACCCGGTATTACATGGATCACTCTTAATATTTTTACCTTATTAGAAAGGCAGTCACAACAAATAACCATATCTAAAACTGTCCAAAAAACATTCCATGCAGTGCTTTCCAATTAAAAAAAAATATCTGCCAAAAATAATATTACACATGTTTTGGGAAAAAAATCATATTTCTTATTAAGCATGAAAAAGGTACAATGGAAACATTGCAAACTTTTTTCAGGCAAAATGTTTTAATTTATAATCTGGCAGTCTTTGAGTGATTACTATCCTTATATTGTCTTGAAACTTTCCACTGATAGAGAAAATCATATCCTCAACTGGAAAAAATAACACATATGTTTAATTTGAACTGGAAAACTCTCTAATTTCACTTTATAAATATAATCTTAAAGGGCTAAACTCTATCAGAGTAGGCTTAGATTGGTTGATAACTCCTGGGAATTTCTTGGTGTTACTTAGAGTGTATTCAAACCTCTTTCCCAAACCAATCCCTTTCTCTTACCAGCCGCCATTACTTCCCTGCCAATATGCCAAGCACCCAAGGCCCCTCAATACTATTGCTAAATTGGGGGTAGAATTGTTATGGTCTTGATCATAGTTGACCTTTCACAGCTGCTGTGCCAGGCCTATATTTAGCCAATCAAGAAATTAGAAGTGTAAAATGTTCAACAAGGTTTAGTGATTTATTATTCATGAATTCTAATCAATGTGGGTGAAAGAGCTAGACATAGTATGGTTCAAATTACAGAGTCATTGCTAGTGTTTCTCTCTACTTTTAGATAGTAATAATCTATTCAAAACAGTTCACTGAAAGACTGCCCTCCGGTGCCTACAGTTAGCCAAAGTGCAGTGCCTTCTCTGTTACGGGGCACTGTGTGAGAGACTATGCTGCTACTCGTAGTATGTCTGATCCAGCAGTAGAATCCCCTGAATGGACCCTTGACAATCAGTGATTTAATATGTACTGTTTGATGACTATATTTATTGGTGTATTATACACACTAGCATTCAATTTGCTTGATTTTCTTGGGGGGATATAAAATTTCTTCATATCATAAGAGATTATAAATGAAGAGTTTTGTTGCTGCTTTTCACTTCCAGGAGTGCTCTTCTGGGTGCCTTTTCCATTTAGATTTTGATATTAGTTCAAATTAACCAGATTGTTAATCATTTGAAAAATGAACCTAGGAGGGGTTATGAATGTTGAGAATGAAGTAAAGTGAGATGATGTGAATTTCTTCTGTTGTCAGGTGCTTGGTCATTCACTCTTCCTGTGGGCATCTTGTGGTCAGAGTGATGCTGGAAGCTTTCTTTGGTAGAGAATGAGTCTGTTTTATATTTGCACATAGAAATGACAAAAGGACCTCAGAGATCCATGACAGGTAGAAGTGGAAATTTTGCCACATCACAGATTTGGATGACAGGCGCTAATTGATTGGAAGGTGGGAATGTGTGACTGTGAGTGAAGGAGCCTGTCTGACCATCAAGCACCCACAACCCACATCTCTATTGGCTTCTGTTTTTTTCCTGGCATTTCCTGTGCAGAACCTTTTCTGTGCTCATAAAAAATAATCACTCGGACTTGGGGGGATGGGAGGGACTTGGAAGAGGGTGGAAAAAAGGGGGAATGGGAGATATCTGTAATACTATCAACAATAAAAAATATATTAAAAAAATAATCACTCAGAAAAAGAAGCCAGCTACTGCTGTAAGTGCAAGAAAAAAATAAATTATATATATAATTTTTAAAAAATCATGATGATTATTCAGCAACTAGCCTAATAAATGTTAATGGTCTTATATTTGTATAATTATTAAAGATATAAAAATGTCATTTTAATTATTCATCTAAGACTTGTTATATTTGTGAGATTTTAAAGATTTTTGAGCATTTGCCAAAGTGTTATAGTACATCGTTCATAAATCTAAAGGTTGCATTGTATTATATTTAGAAGAAAAGGAACCTATAAATTATAGAGAATTAGCAAATGTTCAAAGAATATTAAACTTAACAAAATAACCTTAAAAACTGGCTGGGCATTCTGTAATATGTTTTAAAATATTCAGTAGGACAAAAGTATCCTCTTAGGTGCAAAAGCCATCAGTTTCAGAATATTATAATTAAAGAAAAAAACTACTTAAATTTAAGTTATTGGCTTATTGACCATTGACACTGTTTATTCCATTTGGGAAAATGCTACAGAAAGTGAGTAATAAATAATGTGAGAATTTGGAGATACTAGTTTTACCAGTGTGTCAATATTTTTTTGGATTTGCAACTTTCCATAAACAAGTAATATTGAGCCCTGGCTGGTTTGGCTCAGAGGATAGAGCATTGGCCTGTGGACTGAGGGTCCCAGGTTTGATTCTGGTCAAGAGCACATGCCTGGGTTATGGGCTCGATCCCCAGTAGGAGGCATGCAGGAGGCAGCTGATCAATGATTCTCTCTCATCATTGATGTTTCTCTCTCTCTCCCCCTCTCCTTTCCTCTCTGAAGTCAATAAAAATATATTAAAAAACAAACAAACAGGTAATATTGAATGAGGTAATGAATAGATCTGGTCTTTTCCATCTGACTCAGATCTTGTGGTTACTCTGTAGTTGTCTCCTCAGCCTATGGAGAAGAGGATCAACTGAGGAGGTGATTAGATTGGACACTGTTAATAGAGAAGCAGAATCTATTAGGAGGTGACTATTCCTTCAAGTGTAGGATTTGTTAAGTTGTGCTGCGTAGAAGATTATTGTCCATGACTTTCAGAGAGACGGATACCCGGCATCACTCCCTGTTTCCCACTGCTTCCAGTCAGTCCTTGAGTGTTAGCAGTAGAACCTGGAATACCTAGTCTACAACAAGGGGCCATGGTGTATTAGAGCAGGACTGCACCTACTACCGAATGATACACACCTCACGCATCACCTCACTCTTAACAAGGGACTGTTCTGTTTCATAAAGAGAGCTTAAAATCATCTCTCCCAGCAAAGAGAAGATTCTGGGCAACTAAAGCCATCTTGAAACTTAATAGGATTCCCCAAATTTCCCCCTGGATAGTTACTGGAATCAAGAGAAATACAAAGCTTGCTGTAAGTACCACAGCAATGGTGAAATATTAGAATTCTCTGCTAGTATGATTTCCCCTGTGTTTCCATGAAAACACCAAAAGACCCCTTTCTTACTGATTTTTTCTTATGTTGCTCAATGTAGTATTTCTCTGAAAGAATTTTGCTGCAGTGTATTTTTGTAACCCTTTCATGGTTTTCAGCCAACTGACACAAACTAATCCTATCAAACTTAATGCCTGCCATGAAGCTTATAATTTCCACTGAATATTTCCTACTTACTATTCTATCAAGAATCTGACCTAAAAAATGATCATTTCTCTGTATAAGAGGTCATTGAAAAACTACTGGGTTACAAATATTTTTGTAGCATTTCAGATCCAAATTAGTATAATTTCTACTAGTGAGCTATTTGTAGTCTCCCCCAACTTTTTTTTTTTCAAGACTTTATTTTTTTGGAATACTTTTAAGATCACATCAAAATTTTGGAGAAGGTACAGAGATTTCCAATATACCTTGCCCCCACATATCCATAGCCTGTCTGTTATTAACACCCCCACCAGAGTGATATATCTGTTATAACTGATGAAACAACATTGCACATCCTAATCATCCAAAGTTCATAGTTTACATTGTGTTTCACTCTTGATGTTGTACATTCCATGGTTTTAAATAAATGTATAAGAACATATATCAACCATTATATATTATCACGAATTCATGCACCGGTGGAGTCCGGCCAGCCTGGCTCTAATAGGTGGATTGGGGCCAGGCCTGTCGGGAGGAGGAGACAGCGGGAGGTTGGCTGGCCAGCCCACCCTGATCAGGGCCGGGCTGGCTGGGGGGAGGGGCCACAGGTGATTGGCCAGTGGGCCCTGCCCCCAATTGAGGTGGGGAGGCTTACTGGGGGTGGGGCTGGATGTGGGGAGGGGCTGTGGGCAGGCCAGCCCCACCCCATTCTGGGGTAAGGGGGGGCCAATTGGGGGTCAGCTGCCGGGGAAGGGGCTGTGGGAGGTTGGCTGGCTGCTCCACCCTCAATGGGGTGGGAGAGGCCAATCAGGGGTGGGGCTGGCTGGGGAGAGGGGCTGTGGACTGATTGGGGTGGTGGGAGCCCATTGGGAGCAGGGCCAGCCGGGGGAAGGGGCTGCAGGAGATTGGCTGGCTGGCCCTGCCCCCTATTGGGGTGGGGGGTGTGATCAGGGGTGGGACCAGCTGGGGGGAGGGGCCACAGGAGGTTGGCCAGCCAGCCCCACCCCCAGATCAGGCCAGATCGCTGGCTGCAGTGGGCGTCATAGAAACCGGTCATTCTGGTCGTCCTGGTGTTACGGTTGCTGGCTTTTTTATATACATAGGATTGCATTGGCTTTAAAAATCCTCTATGTTCTGCCTAATTCCACTTTTCCCATCCTTGACAACTTCAGATCTTTTACACGTTTCTCAGAATTTTAGCCTTTTTCAGAATGCC